TGTCTATAATAAGCAGAGAAGGCAATCTAATGCTATCTTGAAAATAAAAGATAGGGAAGGTAATTGCCTCTATAATAACCAATATATTAAAGAGAGTGATGTTGAATTTTTCAGGATCTATTGAGATACACTAAGGTGGATTTTCAAAATCTATACGTTGATCTTATTCCTAGAAGTTTCATGGCTAGAGAATCTAATTTTTGTCGTCTTTCGATGAAAAATGAAATTTGGCATGCTCTATCATCTATTAACAACAATAAAGTCGCTGATCCTAATGATTTTACATCCAAATTCTACTTGAATGCTTGTGAAAGCGTTTTGAGTAATTTCATTTGTGCTACTCAATTATTTTTGAAAGGTGTTTTGCCACACAAATATTTTAGGCGCGTTAACATATTTCTTATTCTTAAGGAAAATTTCAAGCATTAATGAGAGAATTTTTTGCCTATTTGTCATACTACTTTTGTTTATAAGGTAATCAATAAAATTTTGGTGAGCTGATTACAATTGCACCTTAAAGAGTTGGTTTGTCCCCAACATGCTGCCTTAATCACTGGTAGGTAGGTGTATCACTGATAGCATTCTGATAGCCCAAGATCTTTCGCAAGATTTGGATTGCAAATGCAGAGAGGGTAATGGTACTTGGAAGCTTGATTTACAGATAACTTATGATGACATTAGTTGGAAGTTTATTCTTGTAAAGCTAAAGGTTTCAAGGATGTTTTCTATATGTTATTAAGGATGCTCTAAGATAACAATTTTTATTTTATTCTTAACAATGATAAATAACATGTGCATTTTAAATCTTGCTGAGGGCTTAAGTAGGGGATCCCCTTTCTTCTATCGTTTTCATTTTATCCATGGATTATTTATCCATTCTTCCTTAACAATGATAAATAACATGTGCATTCTAAGATCCCCTTTCTTCTATTGTTTTCATTTTATCCATGGATTATTTATCCATTCTTCTAAACCAACATCTCACTAACCATCCCGGTGGTACATATAAAGCCAGAGGTAGTGAACTTATTTCTCACTTGGCCTATGCTCATAACATCATTATTTTTTGTAATTTGGGTAAAAGGAATGTTAGACATCTTTATAATATCTTTATTCACTTTGAGCAAGTCTCAGGTATTAGCTTTAATAGAGCCAAATGTGATTAGTATTTCCTAAACACATTAATTTTGAGAAGAAGCACCAGTTAAACCAATACACTATTTGGGCATTCTACTTTGGGAAAAGGAGTATGATTTTATGGAAAGTTGTTAATAAGATTAGAAAGAAAATAACGAGCTGGGAGAATTCTATCTTATCAAGAAGGGGATTGAGGGGGGGTTGACCACACTCCTACAACCCGTTTTGAATTCTCTTTTTCTTTATATACTTCAAGTGGCCAAAAGGACTAAATGCATGCAACTTAAAATTGAAATAATTTCAATAAATTCTTGTAGGTTGGGAATGACAAAACGACTCAAAGAAAATCTTGGCAATATCTTTATAAACCTATGAAATATGTGTGAATTGGTTTCAGATCCTTGGAACAACCCATTCAAATTAACTACTATAAACTTCGGATCAAAATCATGTCTAATTTGGCGCTATGGGCTAAATTCATGTGGTTTAAATATTTTAAATATTCTCATCCTTTTACTTCGCCCAAATTAGGGGACTCTTTAATTTGGAAAAAGTATTTGAAATTAAGAAATAAAGCAGAAGAACTTGTTACACGGGATATTGGTGAACATAAAAGTAGCTTTGGTTTTAAAATTAGACCCTTTTGGGCCCTCTGTTGCAATTCTCTGATGTTGCTCATCCTATTGATCTTAGTGTGGCTGATTCCCAGTCTATGGAGGCATGGAGTAATCAAGAACTTTCAAAGTTTACTAGTGATAGTTTGTTCATTTACTTTGCTGCTATGGGCTTTGGTATAACCCACACAAATGTTCTCATAATTAAACAAACAACACAATTTTCTTTTGTTGCTTCTATTGTTGAAAGATTACATCATTTTCCTGATTCTAAATTGGATAATTTTATATGGAATACTATGATGAAACCATCCCAAGCCCTTTTTGCTTGGAGATTACATTATGATTTGCTACCTATAAATGATATTCTTAAATTTAAGGGACTGCGTAATGCTTCTATTTGCTTATTTATAAAGAAAAGAGAAGTCGTCTTGTAATCATCTTTTTTTTTCATTTGTAAATTATTATTGGCTATTTGGGCGCAGCTAAAACATTGCTTACTTTTCTGCTTCCTGTGAGTGTCTCAACACTTCATATGCTGAAATGGCTCCTGCTCTCTATTGTTTACTTATTGCAAAGGAAATGAAATTAAGGAATCTAATTGTGGAAGTGGACTCCCTCTCCGTATTTCGTTGTTGCAACTGTAGTGATCTGTGTAATTGGCAGAATTTGATTATTCAGGCTAAGATTAAGAAGCTCTTGCACTACTTCAATGTTAAATTGAATCATATATTACGTGAAGCAAACAGACCTAAATATTTTTTTTCCAGATCTGGTCAGCACATTAAGAGATTAGAGTGGGCATGGAATCAAATGCCGACTTTAACTTACTTATCAGTGGCGACAGATTTGACTCAGCATACATTGGAATTGAAAATATGTAATCTTAATATATATATATATATATTAAAAAGGTTGATCGCTGATCAACCCCATAGTCAGATCGAGGGGCGGACTCCCCTTCCAGACAGGTGTGCAATTTGATTCTACGCATAGATCTAACCTCCGATCCGAGGGACTAACACCAAATGCAGCAACTAATGAGTCAGGCGAAGACATTAATCTTAAAATATAAATATAAATATAAATAAAAGGGAACTTTAGCTCTCATGCTTTGCTCATTAAGGCCCTCCCTTGAATCATAAGGTGGCCTGCCTGCTCCTTATATTGGCGTGATTCTTCCATAATTATTATATTATATTATATTGTAGGGGCTTTTACATACATACCACACAATTCTTATGTATTTACTTATCTAACATCTAAACTTTTCTTTTCTTACAATTATAACGGCCAAATGTTTCATTCCATAACAATAATATTTTCAATTTAACTCGTAAAAGTGAAATGCCCCTTTCCATGCATAAATAAGGTGGTATCTTACTCTCTCTCTCTCTCTCTCTCTATATATGTATATATATATATATATATATAAGTGTTGCTTTGATGAGAATGCTTACGTGGATGAGTGGCCTGACAATTAGAGTCAAAATGCGAAACGAATCTATCAGTGAAATGGTTGGTGTAGCGGTAGAGACAAACAATATTAGAGAAAGCCGTCTTAGATGTTTTGTTCACATTAAACGTCGACCATCTAATATTTTGATTATGAGGGTAAATGTTTTGGATTTAGCTTATGTTAAAAAAAAAAAAAACAGAGGCAGACCTAAAAAGAATTTGGCATACTATATACAAAATGTTCTTAGTGTGTTAGACTTAAATGAATATTTGACGCTTAATGGGACTCAATGGCGAAAAAAGATTCTTGTAGCCGACTCCACTTAGTCAAATAAAGACTTATTATTGTTGTGGATTGTTGTGTGTGTGTGTGTGTGTGTTTCAATATATATATATATATATATATATAAAACAATATTGCCCGACGGGCGGACACAATATTGTCCGACGGGTGGCACCGCCGATCAACCCTTAATACGCTAACTCCTGTAAGGTTTGAGAGCCAATGCGGTGTACAAATAAATTCGAGTACCACCTGCCTTAAGGAGACAATGCACCAGAAGAGGATTCGAAGCCTGGACCTAAGGGGACATACAACCTTCAAAAAGGTTGCTCTACCAAAAGGTCATGGATTGCGCAGGGGTGTGTGTGTGTGTTGTATAATAAAAAAGATTTAACTAACCTTTATTTAGAATTAAAATGTACATGCCGATTACGAGAGCGTTCCAGGAAATCGCTTGCATATGAAGATCAGATGCGATGCGGCAGCCGGCAGCACGTTTGCACATGTTAGGCATTCTTGCCGTATAAGCGCAGCATAGGATTCCATATCTGCGCTTCTTAAATTGTGTTTTTCAATTCTTTTGCTAGTTCGTTTAAAAGATAGGATTTTGAAACAATGAGAATTGCAAACTCAAGATAACAAGTAAAATATCATAATATGACTATTTTTATACATTGAGTTTTGGACTGAAAAAATACTCTTATAAATAGTTTTATCTATTTCTTCTTGGCACAATAAAACAGTTGCGTCGACTATGTCAAGCACAATTGTCTAATCTAATGCCTTGTATATTAAATTTGTGAATAGAATCATTGCTCAATATTTATGACAATTGTATACTTGAGTGTAGCACATGCATGCCCCCATAAGTATATTCTATCATTGTGATACATCATTAATTCACCCTCTTGTATTCCGTCAATAACCACCATTTAAATTTTAGATGCCTTTACATATTGAGCCCAAAGATTTTCAAATTTATATCCACAACCCCAAAGATCAATAAACCACCATTTAAATTTTAGATGCCTTTATACACAATTCTTGTGTTTTTACATATAGAACCCAAAGATTTTCAAATTTATATCCACAACCCCAAAAGTTTTAACATCACATCACACATAACATTATTAATAACTTTTTAATAGTAAAATATTTCTTTTCATGCGTATAAGACAATAATTTATTATAAAATTAATTATGGAAGTTCAGGTATTAAATAGGTATAAATCTCCTATTTAATATAATATATTTGGTTTATTTACTATCATCATTATTATTCTTATACTAAAATATTAAACTTCTAAATAAATGTTTATTTAAATTAAAATTATCTTTAGAAATTCAAGTAAAAAAAGTAATTATAAGTGGCCATGTGTTTCCTGTGGAGTTGGGTGGGCCCCACCCTGGGTTTCATTGGTCGCTTCATGCATCGGACTTGCGGTCGTAATTTTAAGAAGGCTGGTGTAACGGCTCCGGATGGCATCAAACGAAATTTCGGCCAAGTCCTGAGACGTGGTTGGGATGCCAAGTTTTTCTCAGGTCCTTACTATAAAACGCTAACCCGTTTCCTTTTCTTCTCTCAAGCCTTGTAAAGTCTCCTCACTTTGAAGCCAGTTTCGCAGTAGGTAATCCGGCGACGTCTGTAGTTGATTTTGGCAGAGTTTCTTCTTCACATTCGTCGATTTGAGAAGGTAAATGCCTGATTTTTGTGTATGACACTGCTCCTCTTTTACAATTTCTTGTCAGATAGATTCTATTCGTTTTCTTTCTTGCATTTAGAAGTTTTAATGATTATTTGTTAAGAAAGTTGCCCTTTAATTTCCGTTGGCATGAAATCTGTGTCAGATCTTATGCCTGTTTTTGTTTTGTGCTGATTTTTTAATGGCTGGGCTTATTATTTGTGGTTTTGGGTTTATGATTTGTCAAAAATTGCTTTTTCTAATCAACTGTAATTGTTTGATTTCAATTTGATGAGAAGTAATTTTAATTTGTGAAGCAAATATCTTAAAACGAGGCTTGATGTAAAATAATTGCTGTGAAATCAAACATTTAGTTTGTTATTATTATAGTTGGTAATGATCTTGAAAGTTATTCCCATGGCACTCGATGAGAAGCCCATCCACATCAAATTTATGTCTTGGCACTCACTATTTCTTAATAAAAAATAATTATAAGTTGCTTTGCATTTATTTTGCAATTAACATGACATTTCTGGCATATTCCTATTTCTGCGATAAATTTTACTTAACCTTTCTGGTTCTTGGTGCAACATAGGGCTCATTTGGTTGCATTAAGCATGAAAACATGTTTTGAAGACAACATAATTTGTCAAAATCATAATTTGATTGGAAATTGTTCGACTCAACATTGATGTTCACATAACTTACTTTCACAGAACAACCTCCAAAATGTTTTTTTTTTTTTTTTTTTCACCAAAATTTGATTGAAAAAATGAGACGACTTTCTCTAAAACATGTTTTCTATCGACAAGCACAAAAATATGCTCTAATTTTGATATTTTGCTTTTGTTTGAATGAATTGCCTTTTTTATTTTACTTTTAAATACTTGATTTGTAATGTTCTTAAAGTACCTATGTCTTTGGATTAAAATTTTCTTTCATGTTAGATATTGGACCAATGAATTCAAAGATAGTAGGCGACAATATTTTGGTTGAAGGGGAATAAGGCAAATAATTTCGTGTATAGAACATGTACATTCAATTAAATAAGTTGGATCTAGAGAGTACTCAATTCAATCAATGAAAATAATTTTATAATAAATCTCTATTTACAAAACAAGAATTACATAGGATATGACCAAACATTTAATTGTAATTTTAACCCTATTAAATCTCAACTAACTATAACTTAAATTTTTTTATTTTCCATGATAAGATAAAATATAAAAAAATAAAAATAAATTAATTTTTTTTTCTAATTGATAGAAATGCATCAAAAAGGGCTTGAGGGCCACCCCAATTCATATTGGTTCTAATCTACTTTAAGTTATTATAATTGAACTTTGATTGCATGTCCTTATGAGTTGATATGGAATGTATGAAGGCTTCTATTACATCAAATTCTTTATAGTTTCAAAAAACTCTTATCTAGAAGGTTAGCATTGATGTAACCGTCCTACCTATGAAGGCATTCTTTTGTTATTACTTATTTATCATTCATTATCATTTGAAGTTGGTCTTTCCTTTATTTGTCCAAATACATGTGCTCAACATTTATCCTAAACACTTCATCCAAAATCATATTTTCAACATCCACATTGGTGGGAAAACTAGCATACTTGAATTAGTGGAAGCAACATGTGCCATTGGAATTTCTCTTGTAAAAGAATCAACGTGCAATTCTTGAAGTTTATTATTTCTAGATAAGAAGAAGCATTTTTAATGTTGAAATTTGACTAATAAATTATTAAGAGTTAAATCTATTGAAGAACTATTATAATTAGTTTTCTTACTAACCTTGAAAGAACCAAAAGTCTTTGCATGTTGTATCAAATTTGTGTGAAACAATTGAGACGTATATGAATAATCAAGTCAGCCTCATTTTACCCTTAAGAAGTTTTCTTAATATTTTTAAATCACAATATTTCTCATTGTTCATTTCATTTTTCAATCTACTTTCTAGTATTTATGAAAATTGTAGAAGTAACTTTGAAGAAGAATAAGTGCCCTGATTTTTTCACATATAGAGTGCAAATATATAGTGAAAACAATCCCTTCTAATTTACAAACTTACCAAATATATCTAATATAAATTAAGAAAAGAAATAATTCTGAAATAAAAATAAAATAATATAACTTAGAAAGGAAACAAATTATTCTAGAGTTTCCTAAGTTGCCTCAATCAAATTCTCAAAGATCTTCTCATTTTTCTTCAAGGATCTTCTCAGTTTTCCTCACTCTCCTTTAAGTTGGATCTTAGATGTTGTAGACTGAGCTTGATATTGAATTCTATGAAGGCATTTAAAGGAAGAGCTTTGATGAAGACATCAACAACATTTTGGTGTGTCGGGATGTAGCTTAGTTGTATAATTCCTATATTATCTCTTTTTCAGAGACAATATATCTATCAATTTCAATATGCTTAGTTTTGTCGTGATGCACAAGATTCTTGATAATGTTGATAACTACTTGACTATCACAAAATCTTTGTGCATGCTTACGGAGGTGCATTATAATTCCTTAAATAGTTTTGAATCTAGTTCCCTTCAAAATACCTAAGGCTAATTTCTTATGCTCTAATTCCACAGTACTTCTTGAAACAACTACTTTCTTCTTACTTCTCCATGTCACTCAATTTCTCCATACATTGGAGCTGTAACTTGTGGAAGACCTTCTGTTAGTGAGTTCCCTAGGCCAACTAACATTAGTGTAGACTTCCACCTCTCTCTTCCTAATTTTCTCAAAAATTAATCCATAACCAGGAGTTTTCTTAAGAAGCCTCAAAATTTTATACACCATCTCCAGTTGCTCTTTTTTGGGGCTGTTCATTTGTTAACTCACAATACTAAACGAGTATGCAATATATGACATTATATGTTTTATATAGATGAGTTTTTTTTTACCAATCTTTGATATCTTCTTTTATCCACAGAGAAACTTTCTCCTCTCCTTTTTGACTTATGGTTGGGATCTATTGGAGTATTAACAAACTTAGATCTAATTATCTCCATACCTTTTAATAAATTTAAGATGTATTTCCTCTGTGATATAATGTGCCATTCTTAGACCTTATTACATCCATATTTAGAAAACATCTCATGATTCCTAGTTCCTTGATTCAAATTATGTGGTAAGCACTTATTTGATCTTGTGAATCTCTCTTTCATTATAACTAGTAAGAATCATATTATCCATATATATAATCAATGAAAAAATTATACCTCTCTTGTTGCGTTTTACAAAACAAAGTATGATCCGCTTTACTTTGGGAATACTCATTATGTCTCATAGTTTTAGCAAACCTTTCAAACCACATTTTTGGTAATTTTTTAAGCCCATAGAGAGACTTCCATAGTTTGCATACTAGGTGCCTATTAGAATCATTCTCAAATCCTGGTTATATCTCTATATACACTTCTTCTTTTAGATCCTCATTTAAGAAGATGTTTTTTATGTCAAGTTGATGTAGCCACCATTCCTTGCTCGCTGCTACTGAAAGGAGAACTTTGATATTGTTTGTCAATCCCATAAAACCATGAGTGAAACTTTTTGTAACAAGTTTAACTTTGAATCTCTCAATACCACCATCAGATTTGTATTTGACGTTGAAGTCCCATTTGCATTAAATGACTTCTTATGATTACAGAGCTTAGTAAGAATCCTTGTACCATTATGCTTTACCACTTGAATCTCCTCTTCAAAAATTTTCCTCCATTCTAGATTATCAAGGGCTTCATGAATGGATTAAGGAATCTTCATAATGTCATGATTATAAACAAAAGCTTTGCAGGATGATATAGTTTCCCATAAGCAAGATACTCCTGAATTAGATATCTATTGCAGCTTTTCTTGTCACCATCATCAGAAGCGAAATGAGATAACTCATGAGTACTAGACTTCTCCTTACCTAAAATTTTATTGAATGCAGACTCACATTTTGTTTTGAGCAATTTTGTCCTTGCAAGTTGTCTTTGATCTGTTAAGGTTTTTCTTCCTCCTTATGTACATGTGATTTTTTTTTCTTTGGAATTCAAGTTGGTTGGTTGGCATCCTCAACCAGGATAGGAGGGCTAGGCAGAGTAGGTAGTGACGCTGTGTAGGTTTTATCAAGGGCATCACAGAATTGATGTTCATTTATACTCTCCCCCTGATCATCATATTTTAGGCTAGTAAGGATTGATTTTTTTAAAAAAAATGTGACATCCATAGAGTTATTAGCACTTATACCCCTTTTTTTCTGTGGCATGCCCAAAAAAATACATGATAGATTATGGTTAAGTTTTTTATGATTTAGAGAGTGGACGAGAACAGATGATACGTTCACAAAGATTTTAGTGGTATAGTAGATGAGAAATCTATGATTTGAGGATATGTAACTATCAAAACTTGAAGGGTTGTTCTGATGTTAGCTATTCGACTAGGCAAATGATTGATAAGTATGTTGCAGTAAGAACCGCGTCTCCCAAAATTATATTGAAACTTGGCGAGACATCATAATTGAGAATGAAACCTCAAGAAGATACTTATTATTTCTCTTATCTATCCTATTTTTTTTGTGGGATATCAATATATGAACTCACGTGGATAATTTCATTTTTGAAAGATATGACGTAATGAAGAAGCTAAAATATTTCTTTGTATTATCAGTTTTATGGATTTAAATCTTGTATTGGAATTTAGTTTTAATTATGTCATAAAAGATTTAGAAGATTTGGGTGATTTTTTATTTCTCCTTGATTAGGAATACAAAAGCAGATATGGTGTGATCATTAATAAATGAGACAAATCATCGGGCCCCACTTAAGATTATCACCTTTGATGTTCCCCAAATATCACCGTGGATATTAGCAAAAGAGTGTGATGCTTTGTACTAAATCAAAGGATAATTGTTTCTCATGTGCTAAAGTTGACAAATCACACATTGGAAAAATTAGGTTTCTTATCGATAAACGAATGAAGATACAACTCAGCAACATAATTAAAATTGCGATGACTCGAGCAAAAATATCATA